GCTCCAACCAACTGAGCCACCCCAGCTGAAAGTCTTTCCCTTTTTTAAAAACATAGGTGTATATGACTATAGGTTTTCCTTAGAACAGTTCAGCTGACTATTATATAATTAACCTGTATTGTCATTACTTGTATTTCAGTTCAAAAATTTTCCTAGTTTTCATTTTGATTGTTCCTTGACATGTAGAATATTTGGAAATATATTCTTTTATTTCCAAGTTTAATGTTATAAAATTATGATTTATAGTAAGAAATATGTATTTAGTCTGCATCCTAGTTTCTGGCACAGAGCTTCTAAAACCCTTGGAATTTTCTAGAATGATCAGGAGGTCTTTTGTTTTCAAGAACAATCAGGTGACTAGGCAATGACCTAAGGATTGGGGATGGCTGCCAGCAGAGGTAACCGTGGGATTAGAGGGGCTGAAATTTCCTGTCTCATCTTGCCCCCACCTCCATGGAGGAGAGGGGCTGCAGACTGAGTTCAGTCACCAATGACTGAATGATTTAATGTCATGTGTAGGTAATGAAGTCTTCATGATACTCCAAAAAGATGGGGTTTGGGGAGTTTCTGGGTTGGTGAACATGTGGAGGTGCAGGGAGAGGGATCTGCCTGAAGAGGCCATGGAAACTCCATGCCCATTCCCACAAACCTTGCCCTATGCATCTCTTCCATCTGGCTATTCCAGAGTTAAAGCTTTGTATACTAAACTGGTAATGCAGTAAAATATTTCTCTATGTTTTGTGAGTTGCTCTAGCAAATTAATCAGGCCTAAGGAGGACTGGATCATTGGAACCTGTGATTGATAACTGATTGGTCAGAAGCACAAGTGACAAGTTGGATTGGCATCTTAAGTGGGGGGAACAGTCTTTCAGGGCTGAGCCCTGAACCTGTGGGATCTGATGCTATTTCCAGGTAGTGTTAGAATTGAGTTGAATTGTTGGACAACCATTTTGTGTAAAAGAATGAATTGCTTGGTGGTATGAGGAAATTCCCTCTCCCATGACACACTGGAGTTGGGTGCAGAATTTTAGCTGATTATCAGAAGTGGTACCAGAGTCAGAATTATACCAGGCAATTAGGAGTTTTTCCAATTACCTTTAATGCTATTGACTTCTAGCTTGATTATAGAGGATTTATTTATTTATTTTTAAATTAACTTTTAAAATTATTTTTCAACTACAGTATTCTTTCTTTTACTCCCTTCCCAGCCCACTTCCCTGCCCCCACCTCCTTCCCCTTTCCACCCCCCTTAGTTGTTGTCTATGTGTCCTTTATACTAGTTCCTGTAAATCCTTCCCCTTTTCCCCCTGAAAGTCCCTCCCCTCTCCCCTCCAGTCGCTGTTCCCCTGTTCTCGATTTCAGATTATAGAGGATTTAGAGAATATATGCTTCTTGATTAAAATCATCTAAAATTTTCTGGGTCTTTCCTTCTTATCCACTATAAGGTAGACATTGGTAATAGTCCATAAGCAGATGAACTAAAGTGAATTTCATCACTTTTGGGTTTAGTATTCTCTTTCTTTATATATCTATTAAGTCAATTTTCTTAATTATGTACTGAAAATCTTATCCTTCAGGATTTTGTCTATATTCTTTCTATTACTATTAAGAGAATTGGTTTAAAATTCTCCCTCTTAGTGATTGTAGACGTCCATTTTCATATTTTTCCCTATATGTTTGAAGTTACATTAGTGAATGCATACACATTTAGGATTGTCTTACCTTCCTGATATTTGCCTTTTTATCATTACAAAATATTCCTAATTATTTCTAGTAAATGCTTCATATCTTAAAGTTCATTATTAAAATAATTTTAAAATTATTCTTTTATTAAAATAATTATATGAACTTAATTTTTTTAATATATGCACAGAAAGAATTCTTTTTCAAGTTTTTACACTTTTTGTCTTTATTTTTAAATGGTTTCCAAAAAACCAAAACCAAAAATAGCATTTTCAATAAATAACATGATGTTAGAGTTTATATTTTATTCACTCTGAAGTATGTCAGTCTTTTACTTGGTTAATGTAATTTATTTCACATAGGCCTTATATCTACCATAGTAAATTTTTTTCTATTTTCACATATCTGCATTATGTTTGTTTTTCTCCTCATTTGCCTATATTTATAGTAATCAAATAGCATTTATTATGCCTTTTCCCCTTCAATCAATTCTTTTATTTACATAATTTTATTATTTTAATGGCTTCTCTAGAGATTGTAACATGCATCTTCAACATTAGGTACTATGATCCATATCATTAATTTACCTCCATTCCCAGTACTAATAGAAACTTAGACATTTTAACTCTATTTACATGCTTCCCAGTTTTTGTAATAAATGTTTGTATTTTGTTCTGTATATATTTATAATTTATAATATACTACTAGCATTGTTTTGAAGGGTTAATTTTAGTTATTTTACCCACATAGTTAGTCTTTCTTGTATAATTCACACCCACTTACATATGCATTTTTCTTTCTGATAAAATGTTTCTTCTGATTAAAAAAACAAACATTACTATTTCTTTGAGTGCTGACCTGGTGGTATAATTTTTTTTTGCCTAAGGAAAGTTTTATTCTCCTTCATTTTTGAAAGTAATTTTCACAAACTAAAGAATTCTAGTTTGGTGGTTATATGTATTAAGTAGATATGCTATTCCATTCTCTTCTGCACTGTTATTTTATGGAGGCCTGCCATCTATCTTATTTCATTCTTTTTAAGATATGGATATTTTGTCTCTGACTGCTCTTAAGATTTCTCAGTGTCTCAGGTTTTCACCTGTTTTACTATATGTTATTAGGTGTGTGTCTCTGTGTTTATCCCACTTGAAATTCACTTCCTGAAGCTGTGGGACAATGTGTTTACATACTTTTGGGACATCTCAGCCATTATATGTTTTTTATTACTTCTTTTTAATTCTTTTTCTCCTGCTCTACTGGGACTCTAATGATTTTAGTTTTATTGATACATTCTACATATAATATTCCATTTTAAAGTTTTTTTAATGTCTGTCAATGATTGATATTTGTCACCAACTTTTCTTCTAATTGATTAATCCAGTTAATTGCACAATGCAGCCTATAATTCAAACTGTTTACTGTTCTCTTGAATTTAGATATGTTATTTTTAATCTCTAGAATATGTATTTGACAACTTTGCATAAATGTTAATTTTCCGGTAACAAGAATTTACCCTCTTTCACATAGTTTGTTCATTTTTTCTTGTTTTTCTAAGAGCAATCACAGTGATTTTTTGTTAATTATCTTCTTTTACACTCTCTGAATCATCTTTTAGATGGTTTGTAGCTTCTCTTTTATTATATTTGTTGTTGTTGCTTTCTTATTATTTTCTTATTACTTTTTTCTCAATATGTGAGATAAGTTTTTCTTGTTTGATAGATGTGCTATATAAAGAACTATAATAGTTCAGGGTAGACTTAAGAAATTTCATTTTTTTCCTGTGAAAATAGATTGAATGACAACGTCAGTACAATTAGGAATTGAGTTTGGCAAGAAAATAGTATAATTTTAGTAAAATGGATGTACCTAAATGGACTTTCTACTGAGAGCCCATGTGCCTCTATTTTCTCAGCTCTGATAGCAATGGGTGATTACATATGGCTACTCAAATCTTGAAAACTCAATTCTCTAGTATATATTCCAAGCTCCTTCAAAAGCAGGCAGTTGTTTTAAGGGGAAGACAATACATATCTTTGAGACAAGTCCCATTCTGTACTTAGGTCTTTGCTTTCTAAATACCACAGATTGTAGGTATTTCTGCCTTGAGAACTTTCAACTTATCTTACTGGCCTCCCAAAGAGGACCTAAACTCAACAAATGTGTAGGGAAAACTCATTTTGAATTTGAGGCGCTTATGTGATTAATGTCAATCTAAGTCTTTTCTGTACATTAGAGGTTTTCAGGTTTTTCTTTCTTAACAGAGGCTCTCTGTGTGGGCTGAGCTTAATCCTTAATTTATAGTCAGAATTAACACATCCTAGGGAACAATCGTTTTCATTGTAGGGAGAAAAAGTACTAACAATTCACATTGTTTCCCCTTCTCAGTAATTTTTAAGTCTTCAAAATCTTCATGTCCTCCATAGCTCTCTGATACTTTTAAAATATAAATTTAAAAATTTGACTTTGCATAGTTGTTGTTTTCAGAAAAATCACTTATGTTCCAAGACCTGCCTAGAATTGGAAGTATCTTCTTTACCTCATTTGATAACAAAAGAAAACCAGAAATTGAGAGACAACTGCTATTGTAATGCTATCTTTTCTTATTTTGTTGGAAACTTGCTATAAATTCAAGTAACTTTCTCAAGATGGTGAAGGACAGTGGTGAGGAAAAACTCAAACAAACAAACACTTTTTGATGCTTCCTCCTTCCTGTTTTCATTATACTGGGATCAGTACTGTAAGTCCCAGTTCAGATAGAAGAGAGGAACCACGTTGTGATTTTAGGGAGATAGAATTAAACACCAGGAACTGGGTAAATAGCTCCTGAAGAACAAAACAAGGGAGACATTGTGCCACTAACTGATAAGTGATTTTTCTGAAAACAACAACTATACAATGCCAAATAAATTTTTAAAAATTTATATTTTAAAAGCATCAGAGAGCTGTGGAGAACATGAAGATTTTGAAGACTTAAAAATTACAGAGTAGGGAAAACAATGTGAATTGTTAGTACATTTTCTCCCTAGAACAAAAATGATTATTCCCTGTGATGTGTTCATTCTGACTCTAAATTAAGAATCAAGCTCAGGCCATACAGAGAGAACCATGAAATACTAAGTGTAAGAGGGTGATTTAATCCATGGGGCTGAGGAGCAAAGGAAAGAGAGGTTAGGGTTATATGAACCTAGAGGACTGCAGGGCTGGCCCCATGGATCTGGGGCTCAGAGCTCTGACAATAGGTACTGCTAAGCCAGTGCAGAAGGTTTGGGATGTTGGTAGAGAGCTCAAAGAGGACTCAGAACTCTGAAAGTAACACATCAGACAGCTATGTTGGTATTTCTCTGGCTGACAATAAGGTTGATCTGGGGTGAATTTAAGAAAAAACATATTGAACTTAAATATAACTGTCAGTGCAAAATTCATTACTGAGGTTATCATTGACCTACAGGAAACAAACAGATGTTCCAGATTTCCAAACTCATTCCCAATCATTTTCCCTGTTGCAGAGCCCTATAGGAAGAGTGATGGTACAACAGAAATGTGGCTCCAACAATGCAAAGAACAAAATGGGAAGGGACTCTGGAGCTGAGAAGTAGCACCTTAAAAATTGGTGCACCATTCATGTGCCACAACCTTTCCAGAAAATATAAAGAAACCCATTTTAGGTAAATACACCTTCTAATTGTTTAAAATAATGAAGAATAAGTAGAAACATTCTAGGAATATCCATTTTTAATGGATACCCATTTAGATACATTTTTTGATATGGATTGTTTCTGTTTCCCATGTTGACTTGGGACAATGACATTTTCGGTTAGCTAAAGTTTTTGCCCTTGTTTTGCAGGTTGAGTTGGAACAGGTTCTGAGGGTGTCTTCTGTGGAACTGGATTATTTTGAGGGGGATTCCCTGGTTTAACTGGAATGTTCTGTATTGTTTTTGATGCTTGTGTTTTGTGCACCTTCTTCATTTGAGGCTGAGACTGAACACTTGGCTTTTTTTTCCTAGGTGTTCTCTTCATACAAAGAAAAAAAAGACAACATAATAAAATTAACAACCAAAGAAGTGAAAACATTATCACATAAATCTTCTTTAGCTTCTTTCTCCTGGGGGGTGGGCCACTGTCAATACTACCTCCATGGCCTATTATTATGCAGTTGGGAGGGTCCCACAGATAGTTGCAATGACAGTGATGTTTGTTGTTGCAGATTCCCCTCTGATGACAGAATGAGGGTGAACAATTACTATCCAAGTGAGATATATGGACACACTTCTTATGGATGCAGACATGTTCTTCACCACACTCTGTGCCATCTTTCACTGCACCTATGTCAGGTATGGTCATCCCAATGTGATAGTCGGTACCCCAACAGTTGATGCCGTTGTATTGAGTCCAGTACACAGTAGAATGTTCTGTTAGAAGGGGAATTTCACGTACATTCTCACACTGAATCCTCCCACACAGGACATCTGACATGTTACATTTGACATATGAATAGTTTTGGGTACCACAGTGACCAAAACGCTCACCTAGAGTGTTTGTTTTTTTGTAGCAATTGTGATCTGCATTCTTTGCCCCTTGGCCAAAAATCTGCTTACACTGTCTATTGCGGCCATTACATCTCTTTTCATAGCAGTAGGCACTTTCATCACAGGGAATTCCATCTTCCACATATACATCATCTGGACACATATGGGATGTTCCATTGCACCATTCTGGAAGATCACATTCATTGACCTCCTTTCTACACACTTCCCCTGACGGTAAGAACTGGCAGTCCTTGCAACAAAGCCCATAAGCACAGTTAGACCCAAGGCTCAGAGTGCAGTTGGACAGACAGCAGGCATCTTTTGCACATTGCTGCAAAGGTCCACAGTCACACTCCTCTTCATCTTCAACAACACCATTCCCACAGCGGTTCCGGTTAAATAAGTCATCTGTGTATATATTGTAGAGCAGACATTTTGTTCTACCTATAGTATGATCCCAAAAAAGAGCTAAACTACAATTGCTAAATTTAGTTATTGGTGGATTGTCATAATGCATTATACACTTATATTTTCCACATGTACACAAATTACGATCATGATGCATACCCAAATTATGACCTAAATGATGGGCCATTGCAATTCCAATAAGGCTCAAGGGTTTTCTTGTAAAAGTAATAATTGCACAACTATGGGTTGGTATACACAGTCCTGAAACATAGCCTAAGCCACTCATTCCTCTTAATGTCTTATGTATAAGAAGATGTGCAGTATCATGTGGCAGGCGGGGAGAAAGGTTTGCAGCCTTCCAATGGCCAAAAATTCTCAGAGATCTCTTTACATCATCTACTTCAATTAAGTTTGTTTGAGTCCACACTTCCATGCCAAACAATAAAACCTTAAGGCCCAGTATCTCATAAATGGAATCCACTATATTTACCATAACATATAAATTTTCCTGCAATAATGAGATATTCTTTTTACATTCACGATACAGAGTGTTGTCAATCACCACTGCTATTTCAACAAAGTAACTGTGGGACCAGATGTCCTCCTCATAAGAGCTTTGCTTCAGAATAGAATTACTAATCTCTTGAAACTCAAATTGTTGAACGATTTCCTCTTGCATAAAGTCCGATTTCATGGTTGGGAATTGAGTCTTCTCACTGTCCATTTTATATACCAGATGCTCAAATTTGGTAGAAAAAATCATGGGTTTAATTTCATAAGCAATGTCATTTATCTGTAACAATCCTCGAAAACCACCAAAACAGGTACTGAGGGCCACCAGAGATTCTGGGTCCCCTTCCACATAACCATGATAGTAGCAGTCATTCTGGACAAAAGGCTGGTCCTCTAGGAGGGCACCTTGGTCACTGTAGGTGAACACTGGGAGGTGTCTGGACAGCAAATGCTTCTTGACCTTCATGTGAACAATGTGTCTCTCACCCCCAAAATGCAGGCTGTAAGAGAGCCAGCCTGGGAACTTCATGCTGAGGCCAGGGTCTGTGACTTTCAAGGGAATCACCACTTCTGGAGGACTGTGATATTGGGAGCGCTTGGCCCACGTGTGCCCAGAAAATGACAGAAAAACTCCAAGCCAGTGTAGCAGGAGCATGTTGTGTTCAACAAGGCTTCAATGACAGTAATTATGAAGCTGCCATTATGGAAACATTTGTCCAGAGAAGAAGGCAGGTAGGCCTGGGTCACAGATGGTCTGGCTCCTTATTTTGAGCTGGTCAATGGGTAGGGCTAATCACTAAGGATTTGTCTTCTGACAAAGTTGAACCATTAGAAGTAAAACAAAAAGCAACATATGGATGGGGTGCTTATGCCAGAGTCTGGTGAAAAGAAAAGAGAAAAGAATGCCATAAAATTGATTAGTGCTTTGATCAATTGGAGTGACTCAAGAAATTGTCTAGAGTTTGCTCTTGAAGATTGGTAGGGAAGAGGAATATTGGAAGTGTACAGAGTAATGAAAACAGGCCAGAGATTTATAGTTACTAAACTTAGATGATAGGTAAATAAGGATTCATTATATTATTCTGTAAATACATTCCTGTGTGAACATTTGTGCAATAGTTAAAATAGGGAGTCTTATAAGTAAAGTGATGATGTACTTCAGATTGCTAGAATTGTCCCAATTTACACATGTTAAATTGGCATGAATAATACCACTTTACTCTCAAGTGATAAATTATTTGATAACTTTACATGAGATACATATAATATAGATATACATGATATGCATATATAAATTACTTGATAACATTACCTAAGATATATAATATATGTAAACCTATGAATATAAACATATTTACATTTATAGCAAAGTTATGTTATTTTTTAAAAGTACTTACCTGAGTACATTTTTTCATTACTTTTAGAAAGAGAAGAAGGAAGGGGGGGAGAGAGAGAGAGGGGGAGAGAGAGAGAGAGAGGCAGAAAGACAAAGAGAGAGAGGAGGAAAAAGAGGGATGGGGGAGAGAGACAGACAGACGGACAGGCAGACAGAGAGAAACATTAATCATCAGTTGGGAGAGAAACATCTACTGGTTGCCTTCATATCTGTCCCAACTGGGGATCAAACCTACAACCTAGTTATGGGACCTAACTGGGAATTGAACCCTCAACTTTTTGATGTATGGGATGATGCTCCAAGCAACTGAGTACACCTGCCAGGGTAAAGCTTACTATTTTTTAACTTTATTTTTATTGTTGACACTCATACAGATGTCCCCATTTTTCCTACTATGTCTACCTCCACCCAGCGCGGACTTCCCTTCCCCGGTCATCACCACACTGTTGTCTGTGTCACATATTATCTTTGACTAAGTATGTTATTTTATTTTATTTTTTAAAACTTTTTTATTGATGATGCCATTACATTTGTTCTATTCCCCCCCTCCATTCCCCTCCACCTTGCATACCCCTCCCCCACCATTTCCCCCTTTAGTTCATGAACACGTGTCTCAAATTCTTTAGATTCTGTATTTCCCCTACTATTCTTGCCCTCCCTCTATCTATTTTCTATCTACTGTCTATGCTACTTATTTTCTATACCTTCTCCCCCCTTCTCCTCCTCCCACTCCCCTGTTGATAACCCTCCATGTGATCTTCATTTCTATGGTTCTGCTCCTGATCTAGTTGTCCTCTTAGTTTGCTTTTGTTTTAGGTGTGGTTGTTACTAACTGTGAGTTTGCTGTCCTTTCACTGTTCATCTTTTTTATCTTCTTTTTCTTAGATAAGTCCCTTTAACATTTCATATAATAAGGGCTTGGTGATGATGAACTCCTTGAATTTGAGCTTATCTGAGAAGCACTTTGTCTGTCCTTCCATTCTAAATGAAAACTTTGCTGGATAGAGTAATCTTGGTTGTAGGTCTTTGGTTTTCATGATTTGGAATACCTCTTTACAGCCCCTTCTTGCCTGTAAGGTCTCTTTTGAGAAATCCGCTGACAGTCTGATGGGAAGTCCTTTGTAGGTGACTGTCCCCTTATCTCTTGCTGCTTCTAGGATTCTCTCCTTCATTTTAATCTTGGCTAATGTAATGATGATGTTCCTTGGTGTGTTTCTTCTTGGGTCCAACTTCTTTGGGACTCTCTGAGCTTCCTGGATTTCCTGGAAGTCTATTTCCTCTGCCAGAATGGGGAAGTTCTCTTTTATTATTTGTTCAAATAAGGATTCCACTCGTGACTCTTCCCCTTCTGGTACCCCTATAATTCGAATGTTGGGACGTTTAAAGATGTCCTGGAGGTTCCTAAGCTTCTCATTTTTTTGAATTCTTGTTTCTTCATTCTTTTCTGTTTGATCATTTTTTTCTTCCTTCTGGTCCACTCCATTGATTTGAGTCCCAATCTCCTTTCCATTACTATTGGTTTCCTTTGTATTACCATTCATTTCAATTAGTTTAGCTTCCATATGTTTCTCTAACTTGTGACTAAAATCAACCAGTTCTGTGAGGATCCTGATAACCAGTGTTTTGAACTGTGCATCTGAAAGATTGGCTATTTCTTCATCACTTAGATTGATTGGTTCTGGGGCTCTGGGTTGTTCATGAGCCATTTTTGGTCTGTTCACGCCGTTAAGTAAGCGGAGCGAAGCCTTAGTTGTTTACCAGGATAGGGCCACCCAGGTCCCTGGTTTGTGATGCTGTGTGTGGGGGCGTGGTCAGAGAGGGAGCAATGGCGGTCCTCTCCGCTAGCCCAGTCCATCCAGTCCCACCATTCACCGCGGGGCCTGTTTATCCGATGGGAATTGTGCGATCCTGCTGCCCTGCGCCTGCTCCCCTCTTCACTGGTTTATCTGCAGGCAGATGCGAGACCAACCGCAGACACCCAGCCACGCCTCTTCCCTGTGTGCTCCCGTAGCTAGCCCCCGATCTGCGCTTTTGGCTGCTTGCGCACCACCCAATCGGGGATTTTTTTTGCCAACCTGCTCCGCTGCTGGCTTCGCTCCTCTTACCGGTTTAGCTGAGCATTTTGTTGTCTTTGGACTCGGTATTGTCAATTTTCTGTGTGGCTTGGTTGTGTTTTTTGTTGTTAAAAATAGTTGTTCTTAGATTTGGTTGTGCACAGAAGCAAGGTAGTTCCACCTACACCTCCATCTTGGCGGAAGTCCTCAAAGTATGTTATTTTAAATCTCTTTTATGATACTTACCATATACCTCCCTAGAGCAAAATGTTTAATTTTATTTTCTCTTTTGTACATTACTCTCCTCACTAGATTTGTCAGACTGAAAATATTCGAGAGCATATTCATGTACTTCACAAATGTTAATATCTTCTATAAGATGTAGCTTAATTATTTATATAGTAAATAATAGTAAATATATGTTTACATAATAAATAATTAATTTTTATTTTTCCTTGATGTATTACTCAAAAAGTGTTTATGCTTGATTACATTTTTGATGAAGAACATTATTCAACACCTGTGGTCAATTTAGTTTCTGAAACAAGGTGGTATAGGTTCAGTTTTTCCTGCTTATTCCCTCTAAATACAACTAAGTACCCTGGAAATAATTCAATGGAAAAGACTATAAGCTAACTTACAAGAAGACAGACTGGCTGGAGACCTCTAGATCTGAGGAATGGCAACACAATGATGTCCTTGGGTTTTCTTTTAATCTCTCAGGTATATCCTAAACTGGGTGCTAGAAAGTTTTCGACACAGAACCATAAGCAGATACAGGCAAAAATACCTCACAAGAAGAGTTAGCTCTCTCTGGACAAAGGACAGAAAATGAAAAGCTCAATTAGAAACAGTAAGGTGCACCAGCACCTGCTCTTGAGCCATGATGTATGTGTGCTGATTCATTCAGAGTGGTAACTTCAAAGACTTGTAGGCCGATCCAAAACACAGCCACCATTACGAACAGGTAGTCTATTCAATCTACCTGCTTTGGCAATATAACCCTGAGACCAGTATGATTCTTATTCAATATCTAGGTAACTAGCTAACTGATCTGCCTTAAAAGGCAGTAGCAAATTCTGAAAAATCTAACCCAACTGCAGGAGATTAGGAGCCTATACTAGAGGTAGCAGCACCGTTCATAAATGGTGATATGTCCCACTGCTCCATCAAATGATATAAGGAGATGCAAGCCTGCTGAGTTATGCTCCTACCATTTCAAGATCTGAACATGGCCCAATGGTACCAGGTAGTTTAGGAAGTGCATCAACTAGATCAAGCAGAAGGCAGTATTAATGGATTTGAAGATGGGTCATTGCTAATTATTTAGTCAAAGGAGAAATAAAAAATAATGAAGAAGAATTAAAAAAGCAAGGGACTTATAGGAGATCAAAAAGAAGACACCAATATACACATGATGGAAGTCCCAGAAGAAGGAAAGGATCAGAATGCTTATTCAAAGAAATAATACAGAAAAAATACAATAAAGAATAAATAAAAAATAATATATATATATGACATCTTATTATCCATTCCATTTCATATCTTGGTTATTTCAAACAATGCTGCAATGAACATAGGGGTGTGTGTCTTTTGTATGTGGAGAAAAAGGAATCCTCATTAACTGCTAGTGGGAATGTAAACTTGTACAGCCACTGTGAAAAACAGTATAGAGTTTACTCAGAAAATTAGGGACAGAGTTACCATGTTGCCCAACAATCCTTCTTCTGGGTATCTACCTGAAAAATTTGAAAACATTTATTTGCAAAGATATATGTACTCCTATGTTCACCGCAGCATTACTCATGGTGGCCAAGACCTGGAAACAAGCAAAGTGCCCTTCAGTAGAAGACTGGATGAAGAAGATGTGGTCCATATATACAATGGAATATCACTCAGCCATAAGAAAAGAAATACTGCCATTTGTGGCAATGTGAATGGACCTTGACTCTATCATGCTAAGCATTTCTTATTTTTTTTCTTTTTTATAATGCATCCCAGCAGGTATTCAGTGATACGTAACTGTGGTTTTGATGATCAGAATTGCCATCTATTTTATTTAAGAAAAGCAGTTCCTAGTTCCATTAATTCAATTTCTTAATGTAGGCATTTATCACTATGAACTCCCCCCTTAGAATGTCTTTAGCTGAATCCCATAAATTTTGATAAGTTATTTTTTCATTTTCATTAGTCTCAACGTAGTTTTTGATTTCTCTCTTTATAGCTTCTTTAACCAATTGGTTGTTCAATAGTGTGTTGTCTAATCACACATTTTCTCATAATTAATTTCTGGTTTTATATAATTGTTGTTGGAATGGGTATGATTTCAATCTTCTTAAAGTTTTTAAAACTTGTTTTGTGGCTTAACATATAATCAGTCCTGAAGAATATTCCATGTGTACTTGAGAAGAATGTATATTCTGCTGCTTTGGGATAAAACATTCTGTAAATGTTGATTTAGTCTATCTGGCTTAATATGTTATTAATGTTTTCTTATTGATTTTACAAGTGTGGTTTTGAAGTTCCCTACTATATGTATTACTGTCTTTTTTCCTTTTTAGCCTGTTAATATTTGCTTTGTATATTTAGGTTGGCACATAAATATTTGCAAATGTTATATTCTCTTTGGGTTGAGAAAAACTTTTCTGTAGCCTTAGCAGTCCTGATTACCTATGACTAGAATCCAGTGTTTCAAAGTGGCCATCAGCCTGAAGCTTTATTGCTGGGTTCAAATACCAGAACTTATGCTTATTAGATGAGTTGATTAAATCCTCATAGCTTTCCTCCCTTAACTCCTCTCTACTGTTTCCTCCCCTGAAGGGGGGAAAATGGGACAACTGCAATAGCATAATCAATAAAATATATTTTTAAAAAAAACAAAAAAAAATCATTGAAATGCTGATGAACAGAAGAAGGAAATTATGTACTATTAACAATATTAAGCACAAATATCCAAAGTAACACCATCAAAATCATGTTAAAAACAACAACAAAAAATAAAACCAAAAAATTTATCATAGCTTTGTGCGTTTTTTTTTGTTGTTATTTTAATGGAAATAAAACAGTAATTTCTTACCTCTTAGAGTGGTTTTGAGTAGTTAAATGAGATAACTCAGATTAAGTATTTAGGGCAATGTCTACCATATTATATATACTTAATAAATAATAAGTTATTTTTAAATACAACTAATGTTTTTTCAAATTTCCAGTTTTCCTGTTTAATGATCTGTAAAATATGCTTTTCAAAAAAAAACTGAACAGGAAATAATTTTCTAAACAAATGGATTTCAAGAGAAGCTGATTTGCAGTAGTGTTTATTTAAAGCAGTGTTTATTTTTGTAAGCTTTGTTTTTATTGTTGACAATGTTACAGAGGTCCCCATTTCCCCCCCTCTGCCCATCTCTGCCCAACCCCCACGCCCTTTTTTCTCTGGCCATCACCACACAGTGACAGTGTTTCTATTGTGATTCCAAATCATCAGAAGCATCTTTACCTTAATACTTTGCTTCCATTTCTCTTTCAGCAAGCAAGAAAAACAGAAAATATTATGGATTTATCTCAATCATTGTTTTTTTCCCTAAGCCTTCTAAAATAACTTTTGTTATCAATTTGTATCTAACATCTTTATCTTGTCTGGTTCACTTCTCTGGTTTTCAGGAGCACAAACCTTTGCACAGCAAATTGGATAGCCACTTCCTCTATCCTTGCTCCCTAATTTTGGCGTAAGTATAAGAGGTGTGGATGATTTCTTTTTCAGACTGTATAATGTAAAATAAATTCTGTCAGAGAATGGTGAATTGAGCCATTTTTAAAGGGAAAGCTACATAGTTTAAACCTCCCATTTCTTATTGTGAGGTATTGCCTTTCATTTTGTGTTTAACAAAAGAACCATTTAATTAATTCCATATTTCTTAGCCTTGGAGGCATGAATATGTGAAAGATGCATGATTGCCAAATTATTTTAATAAGCTTTTTTAGAACAGTTTTTCACTTACAGAAAAATTGCAAATATAGTGCAGAGAGTTCCCATATACTCCTATAAGTATCGTCTTACATTATGAAGTACATTTTTTACAATGTGGAGGTTGTGGCTGATCTGAGATACAAACTCTTTTCTCAAATATTGTTACATATATAAAGGTACATAGGTTTGAGGTCATGACCAGATGTGTGTTTGTACATGACTAATGTTAAGCCATGACATTTAAGCCATCAGTTTGGTTATAACATGTGTATGTATCTCTTGGATACATGCAACCTATGATGTAATTTTTTTTATTGTAACCTCTGATGGGTTGACAAACAAATATTGAAACATTAACATAACAGGTATGCAGCAGTATCTTGGTGTTTTAATTTGAATTTTTCTATTGATAAATGACGTTGAGAAACTTTTTTCACTGCTTCTTTGCCATTTGTGCATTTTCTTTGATGAAGTGTCTGTTTAGATCTTTTCCATTTTTGTGAATTGAATTGTTTGTATTACTATTGTTGAGTTTTAAAAGTGATTTGTATATTTTAAATCAGGTATTATATATGAGTTTTGCACAAAATTTTTCCCAGTCTGTGACTACTTTTTCACTCTCTTTAGTATTTTCCACAGAATTGGTCTTTAATTTTAATAAAGTCCAGTGTGTCATTTTTATTATGCATTATGCATTAATGCATTTTTATGCATTATGAATCTAAAATTTTGTTGCCAAATCACCTAGACATCATTCTCTGTTTTCTTCTAGAAGTTTTATGGTTTCATGTTTCACACTTATTTCTATGATCTACTTTGAGTTAATATTTGTGAACCTTGTAAGCTTTGTGGCTTTGAATGTCCAGTATTTCCAGAACCATTTGTCGAAAAGGTAATCTTTTCCTCCACTGAATTGTCCTGATTACGTTGACAAAAATTGGTGAGTATATTTGTATCGGTCTGTGTCTGAGGTCTGTATTTTGTCTCATTCCTGTGTATATTCTGCCACCAATACCACACCCTTTTTATTGCTGTAGCTTTATAGTGAAGCAGATAGAATAGTGTCTTCAAGATGTTCTGGGTTCATCTAAGTCTTTGCCCTTTCCTTAAAACTTTAGAGTCTGTTTATCAGTATCCACAAAATGGCTATCTTTTTAAAACTTATTTGATTTCTCCCATCAGAGCTTTATAGTACTCCACACATAGATCTTGTATATGTTTTGTTATATTTAAACCTAAGTATTTTTTGGAGCTATTGCAAAAAATGTTTTCTCTAAAAATATTTGGAAATATCCCAGCTACTTTTCTATTTTGCTATTTCTAGTTTAATTTTTAGTGGTTGAGAATATACTTTGTACATTTTTATTATTTTAAATTTATTAAAAGGTGTTTATGACCCCAAAATTTGTCTAGCTTAATGAATGTTCAATGGGAGCTTGAGCAGAAATGTAACCTTCTGTGATTGGATAGAATATTCTAAAAATGTCAATTAGATTTAATTGATTAATAGTGCTGTTTAGGTCAACTTATTGACATTGTGCCTCCTGGACCTATCAGTTACTGAAGGAAGAACAGTGAAGTATACAATTATAATGGTGCATTTGTCTATTTCTCTGTTTTTGCCTCATATATTTTGACACTGTTGTTAGATGCATGCATATTGAGAATTATGTCTTTTAACAGAACTGAGCATTGTTAACATGCATTTTTATCCCTGAAGATTTTTTATTCTAAATTATGCTTTGTCCACTCTGACAATCTTTTCTTTTAACCGGTGTATTGAATTGATAAATAATTAATGTAGGTGAATTAACATCTTTCATATTTGTAACTATTTCCTATTCATTGTACTTGTTCTTTGTTAGTTCCCCGCCCGCATTTTACTCTTTTCTTGGGTTTTAGTTAAGTACTTCATTGCTTG